TCCCAACTGGTTTCCTTTTAAAAAGAAAGGCAGGAAGGGTTGCAGTAAGGGTGACCACGTCTCTCGAAGACATGGTCATGTCAGTCGGATCCCCCTTAGCCGGCCATTTGTAGGCCTCCTCAACAATAGGCTCAGCCTCCTGTGCAGGAGCTTCAGATTCGGACCCAGACTCTACTCCAGCAGATTCATCGCCGGATCCTTCGGCATTAGAATCAGAGTCTTCTAATATGCTGTCACCCGGTGTGCTCGGACCACTCGGGGATTCTAGACGAGTCCCCAGGGTTTCTTCCAAAGGAATTTCACCAGACGATCCTGCCGTCTGGTCCTCGTTTCTGGCATCAGCCAGATCTTCGGCTGCGTCGTCGGACTTGTAATCCGGGTCAACTGCCGTCCATCTTATCCGAGCCATTCTGTCCTGCACATGAACAGAGACGGTCGGATTCGAGGTAGGTGAAGGTTCGCCCAAATACCCCCAGACGGCAGTCCCAGTCCTAGACTCAGCCGTGCCTGGTGACCGCCTGACAGCAGTCGTAGGCTGTGCCGAGTGTATAATTGAAGGGTCCATAACCTATCTATGCAACCGGAAAATTAACAAAAAGAATTGAAACAGGGTGCAGACGGTACCTTTGGAGGTTAAAATTTGCTGAGTTGATTGCTTGAAACCTTCACAGGCGGAAGTCTCCGAATGTGTTAGAGCTGAAACAAAGATGCATAGATCAGACGTATTTTATAGAAACTCATTCAAAAGCTCTTCAAGCGGTGGAGTCCCTGATGAGGGATAGCTAAGTTTGAGCCAAAATTGCTCAAACGACCCCCATACGGTTGAAAGCCGGATGGGGGCAATTTGAAACAAAGTTTGAGCCAAGGCTGCTCAAACGACCCCCATACGGTTAAATGCCGGATGGGGGCTATTTGTATGTTTGAGAAAAAGCTATAGGCTGCTCAAACAACCCCCATACGGTTAGACGCCGGATGGGGGCAATTTAAACAACGTTTGAGAAAAAGCCAAGGCTGCTCAAACGACCCCCATACGGTTGAAAGCCGGATGGGGGCAATTTGAAACAAAGTTTGAGCCAAGGCTGCTCAAACGACCCCCATACGGTTAAATGCCGGATGGGGGCTATTTGTATGTTTGAGAAAAAGCTAAAGGCTGCTCAAACAACCCCCATACGGTTAGACGCCGGATGGGGGCAATTTAAACAACGTTTGAGAAAAAGCCAAGGCTGCTCAAACGACCCCCATACGGTTGAAAGTCGGATGGGGGCAATTTGAAACAAAGTTTGAGCCAAGGCTGCTCAAACGACCCCCATACGGTTAAATGCCGGATGGGGGCTATTTGTATGTTTGAGAAAAAGCTAAAGGCTGCTCAAACAACCCCCATACGGTTAGACGCCGGATGGGGGCAATTTAAACAACGTTTGAGAAAAAGCCAAGGCTGCTCAAACGACCCCCATACGATTAAAAGCCGGATGGGGGCAATTCGAAACAGTTTGAGCCAAGGCTGCTCAAAAGACCCCCATACGGTTAAATGTCGGATGGGGGCTATTTGTATGTTTGAGAAAAAGTTAAAGGCTGTTCAGACGACCCCCATACGGTTAAAAGCCGGATGGGGGCAATTTGAAACAAAGTCTAAGCCAAGGCTGCTCAAACTACCCACATACGGTTAAATGCCGGATGGGGGCAATTTGAATGATGTTTGAGAAAAAGCCAAGGCTGCTCAAACTACCCCCATACGGTTAAATGCCGGATGGGGGAAATTTGAATGATGTTTGAAAACAAAGGCTGATCAAACCACCCCCATACGGCTAAAGGCCGGATGGGGATACTTATAACTAGTTTGAATAAAAACAAAGTTGGCTCAAAGGGGTCCCATGCGGCACAATGCCAGATGGGAGTATATTAAACATCCCAGACGGCAAAACGCCGGATGAGGGGGATTTTTGGACTTGTCCAAAGCCAGCCCCATGCAGCAAAATGCCGGATGAGGGCATTTTAAAACTAGGGAAATATTTCAAAAACCTCAGACGGGAAATCCCGGATGAGGTAGGGGTAATTCAGAAATTTTGGACAAAATATACCCAGGCGGCAAAATGCCGAGTGAGGTCCTTAATCTAGGGGCAAAAAGAGGGAGAAAGCAGACGGTTCCTTACTAAATCCGCACTCAGCCGGATTGCAGATGTCAAGTTCTTGCGAAAACCGGATGCTCGAAGGTCTTGAAAGAAGCAGCCGGTATCAGAGCTTCTTCTTAGGAAGTTTTTGAAAAATTTTTTGAAGAAAATAAAAAGTGCGGAGGAAAGAGGTAGCCACCCTACTTATAGAAAGAGGCAGAAGGCGAACAGTCACCTTCTGCACGAAAATTTGGAATTCAAAAAAAAAAAAAAAAAAAGAAAAAAAAAAGGGAAGCAGACGAACCGTCACTTACCCCATGCACCCTACGTCTGTCACAGGTGACACGTGAGTTTGCCACATCTCACCTGTGAGGGGCAGATGTTTAGGGTGAAAATACCGTAAGACACGTGGCCCAATAAAGGCTTGACACGTGTCAATCTTTCAACGGTCTGCAAAGGCCCAATCCCTTTGCGACACGTGTCCCTTGTACCCTAATTGAGATACAGTTCACCCTTACTATAAATAGTAAGGGTAGACCTCATTTATGGGGATCACACATTAATTACAACCACACAAAAACAAAGCCAAAAACCTACTGAAACGCTCTCGAACCGAGAAGCTTTTATCGTTCTTATTCCACTTCGAAAAGATACTAACTTAATCTTCGGAGGCGGAACTCCCACCCCCATCCGGAGTCTCCGTTACTTGTGCAGGTACAGGCGTAAGAAGGAAGTCTGCTAGGAAATCGTAACCCTCCCGAAGGACATAAAAGACCCCCAAACAAGAATCACCTAATCTAATTAGCTCCTCAATTCCAAGTCCGACCAATGACCCCAGTAACGTCCCCCAAGACTTTGATCAATTTAGGCACGATGGTTCTTCCGATTTTCATCCATATAACTTGAATAATATGAATATGCCCAATTTTCCACAAAATTTCCACCACAAAACCAATTTCCACAATTTGGTCAATTCCCACCTAATTACTTTGACCCACAAAGTTTTTATTCTAGCCAAGGTAGCCCACAAGATACCCCTAATGCTTCCGGTTCTACTGCTAACCAACAAACTCACAAAACTACAAATACCCAACCCCAAAACACACAAGACAAATGGTCAACCAAAAGTAAAATGGTTCATATTAAAAGCCGTAAAAGTGATGTTTGGAATTATTTTTTGCGAAATAAAGAACAAAAAAAAGCAAAATGTAACACATGTGGTAATATATACTTGACACAATCCAAGTCCGGGACGGGACATTTAAGTAGACACATGAAAAGTTGTGCAAAACCAGCTAGTGCTCCAACCCAGCCAAGAATTTTCCAATTCCATCCACACGGCTTTACCTACAACTATGAAAGGGATAGGGAAAAACTAGGAAAAATGATAGTACACACCGAATAACCTTTTCTTTTCTCCGAAAGTGACCCATTTAACACTTACATTAACAAAACTTACCACCCCAACATAAAAAAATCTCTAGGAAAATCGTTCGTTCCGCCGCCATGAAAAATTTCCAAGAGTACAAAATTAGGTTACAAGACGAATTGAGTAACCTTAATTGTAGAGTGTCTTTAACCGCCGATTCTTGGGATAGTATTTATGTGTGACTTTCCATTGGGTAGATGATCAATGGTTGTTGCAAAAACGAATTATTCATTTTAAAATGCTTGAATACCCCCACACCGGTATTAACATTGCTCACCACTTAATGGGAGCAATAAATGAATATAACCTTGGAGAAAAAATCATGTCAATGACATTTGACAACGCAACCCCAATGACATATTATGCTAATTATGTTAAACAAAATTGTACCAATGTAATATTAGACGGTGACGCACTCCATACTAGATGTGTTTGCCATGTTTTTAACTTATGTGTACAGGATGGAATCAGAGCAATTGATCCATACTTCAACAAAATTAGAGATGCTATTATGTCTATTAATAGCTCAAACATGAGATATCAAGAATGGAAGAGTTTTCTAAAACAACAAAAGATAAGAGCAATAAAAATCAAAACTGATTGCCCAACTAGGTGGAATTATTCCACCTATGACATGTTAACCAAGGCAATTGATTACAAGAATCCGTTAACAATTTTTTACAACAACAAAATTCCAAACAATGCTATATTTGAGGATGATTGGGTTAAATGTGAATGATATATGCAGTTCTTACAGTTATTATATAAAATGACGTATTGTTTTTCTTCTGTTTATAATCCTTGTGCTCATAACTTTCTTTCAAATGCATGTTTATTCGCCCAACTTTTTGTTGATCATCGCAACGAAAGTGATTATGATCAGTATCTTCCAGCAATGGAAACAAAGTGGCGTAAATATTATACTAAAATTCCTTTAATTTATATTTTTGCTTCAATATTAGATCCTAGGCAAAAGTACAAAACTAACCTCAAGTAAAACCCAAAAAGTGTTACAAAAAGTGGTAAAAGTGTTATTATAGACAATAGGTAACACTTTAGTGGGTGATACATCCACCCATGTTACCTAAGGTCTTATGTAAGACTTTGGGCAACATATGGTAACACTTTTCAAAGTGTTACTATATAACCTCTTATATAACACTTTTTTAATGTCATTAGTATAATTTTTAATGTGTTACTTTTTATTTCTTAAGTAACACTTACTTATTTTTAGTAACATTTTTCAAACATTATGTATCACTTTATCCGACATTATGTATCACTTTTTCAATCTAATGTAACACTTTGTTGATTATTAAGTAACACTTTTCAATCATCTTTTGACATATAGTAGCACTTTATTCGACATTATGTATCACTTTTTGCAAGCTAATGTAACACTTTATTCATTAATAGGTAACATTTATAATTATTATTGTTATTATTACAACTACTACAAAAAAAAAATCCAAGAAACAGCAATAATTTGAATTGATAGAATTTAATAGTTTCTTACAAAAAAATCTAATCAACACCATTTTTTTTTTTTGTTTGGCTAAGTAATCTAATAAACAAAACAAAAAGAAAGTCATGAACTTCGGTCTCTAGACTAGACCGCTAGCAGTAACAAATGATTGCAATAGCTAGCAGTAACAAAAGATTGTAGCAGGCAGCAGTGAAAGCAACGCGCATCAGCAGACCAGACCAGCAACTAACAGTAGCAGCAGACAGCAATGAAAGCAGCGCACAACACTAAGAGCAGCAGACATCCAGTAGGCTCCAACTGAAGGAAGCCTTAGTAATCTCACACAATCAAAAGTACTTTCCTTGATGGCACCCATCCAGTAGGTTGTACCTGTAGGTCACACAAACTCCAGAAAAGACATAAATAAAACTATCACAAACTAGTTTTTTAGCTACTACTTCTACCAAATTCTTCTATGCATTTCAGCTACTGTCTCTGCCAAAGTCTATATCACAATCACAATCATGATGCCCAAGTAACACATGGGCATCTGTTTAATAAGTATCCACTAAAACTCTGGTAGGGCTCAAGTATGACATACATCAGATATTAATTCAGATAACCCCGCATAGGCCCAAGCAAAAATGAGAAGTAATCTGTAATACTAATACTCCTATTAGCTTATCTCTAATTCTCTATTCCTTTTCATCTTCTGTTTTGTTTAGAGTTGTTGAATCTATAAATGTACATACAGCATCTACTCAATAATAATACTCCCCCCTACCCTTTTTCCCCATGATGTATGCTCACTTTATTAATTTTTGGTTGTTTAATATTGATGAGAGAAGATAACGGTAGGTCCAAAATATTGTTTGTGAGAGTAGAATAATGATCCATTTATATACGGCATAGAGCAAAAAAAAAAATAAAAAAAAAATAAAAAAATAAAACTTATTTGAAAATGTGCTAGGGACTTGTATAAACAGCCAATAGAAAGATATGTGGGTGTATAAACATAAGGCAGTGATATTGTGAATTTGACCAATATCGAGTTCTTTAGTGAGTCCAACGTTAAAAAAAAGCTGAATAAAATCAAACATAAAATATTGTAAGGAAATTAATCAAGTGACCAAAGTTTGAAACCTTATATGCGTCATAATGAATTCAATTTCATTTACTGCTTTTCATGAAATGAATACTTATTAAACGGATGCCTTAGTAACATGTTTTAGTGGATACTTATTAAACGGATGCCAAAGTAACATGCTAAAATGATATAGACTTGGAAAAACAAGCTTTGACTCAGAGGATAATCAGGCTATATCATCATCACAATCTATAGCAGAACCAATTTTTTAGCTACTGTCTGCGCCAAATTCTTCGAGGCTATATCATCATCAGCACAATCTGCCAAATGCATAAACCTTTGTTGTGTAGACTTATGCATGTCATAGGACCTGTACTGGGCACTTTCATTGATTAGGATACGGGTTTAAGAGCTTAATACCTTAGTTAGGCAGACAATTATGATCCCACCTGATTGCAGATTCAAGTACCTGAGCACCTGAGTAGAAAAAGAGCACCCGATCACCTGACTTCACATAAAACAAAGTCTAGATTATTAATTTCTTCCATAATCTTAGTAGAAAGGGTATTGCAGGCATTAAGTTTGGTAATCATAGGATTCAGAACTACGACATACAGACCAACCACCATAAGATTCCAAGGCCTTAATTTTTTTTTCCACGAATTTAAGCAGAAAAAAAGAAAAAATGAGAGAGAGTCAGGAAAAAAGAAAAAGCACCTGACTGACTGCAAATTCAAATACCTAAGCACAGAAAGAGCAAAAGCGCACCTAAGTGACTGCAAATTCAAATATCTAAGCACAGAAAGAGCACCTGACTACACACAAACGCAATCTAGATTAATTTCTAACATATTCTTAGTAAAAGGGTAATACAACAGTAAACTAAATGTAATTTGGGTCCCGATGAAATTAAGAATGGCCCTCTAAATATTCAACAGCTCATAGGTATTCAACTGCCACTATAATATTAAACCTCAATTAAATTCAACCTGCAAAATAGAGTCAGAGCTTCTCTGTTACACAACACTAAATCACTAACTTACAAAAATCACACCACAAGCTTCTGTGTTGCACAACCAATAACCAGCTTAGCCTTACAAACCTTACAAAAGGTTTTTAGAGAGAACTAGGAATAGGTGGATTTGCAGCTGTTTACTACGGTTGCTTAAAAGATGGGGTGGAAGTTTCTAAGCTGCCATTATTCTAAATCAATTTTGCGCTTCCCAAACAAAATTTACCGAATACATAATTAATTGTGCAGCGATCATCAAATCGAGCATTGTGGCGAGAAAAAACACTAATTTATGAAATTGAAGAAATAAAAAAGTAGAAATTGAGGGAAATACCTGCAAGAATTAGCGAGCAGTATAAGCAGTCTGGCCAATAACAATTTCTTGGGTAGGGAATGAGTAAACAAAAATAAGGAATTATAGATTTCTGTGCAAAAATGAACTAAAAGTATACTAGATTAAGAGGATATAGTCACATTCTGATTATCTTGCAATTGCACTTAAAGTAACTTTGTGATTTTGATCCATAGCAAATATGCCCACACAATCTTTTTAGTTAGTTTCATGAGATATATTTCTTTATTTAATGAATAAAGACAAGTAATAATGAATTAATTAAAACCTATGTTGTATAAAGTTGTTCGCTAAATGCAAATCTAGTTATGACAATTTCCTACTAGGATCCACATGGTTCAAAATGTGATACAAGAAACTTTAGCACAGGTAAAATCAAATCTTTCGGAGGCAATTTTGGCCAGCTCTAAATACATTTCATCTTTAGAATTACTAATTATTCCATTGCACCAATCATTAGGGGTGTACATAAACAGGACCGGACCTGAAAACCGACCTGAACCGGACCCGTTGGGACCAGACCTGTAGATTCAGGTCCGGTCTTGGTCCTTGAAATTCAAGGTTTCCGGTCCCGGTCCGGATCAGGTTTGTGCTAAAAAAGGAGATCCTAATAACCCATATCAAATTGGTTTCAAGTTTGTATAGTTTTCTTCTATGTTGATTTTTTGGTCCTGTTGTACGGTAGTTTTTGTGCTAAAAAGGGAGATCCTAATAGCTGTTAACTAATTATAGTTTGGACAGCTGTAATAGATGCTAGAGCTAGATCATATCCTCTTTAGAACCCTATGCAGGTGAAACTATTAGCATATCTCTCTCTTTCACAATATATTGCTGTGATTTGAATAAATTATGTACGGTCTTCAATTTCCAAGAAGTTGCTAAATTCTGATGTTGTATTATGTACCAGAGGTGAATCTATCTAATGACAATTCATGCTTGCTTCAAGCTATTGGCTTCTAAGGAGTTGGGTAGCTTGTTTCTGCTCAACGCATTTTATAACACTCCTCCCAAGTCTCGAGCCACTTTTAATTGCTCCTAGCACTTATCCTCAAAAAAATTGTACAATGGGTCAATATTTATGTGAAAAATTAGAATTGTAAGCAATGTTTGAAGCATGTTTAAGCCTTTAGGACAGGGCATAGTTATGCTCGATTCATTACATTCTCAAGCAGGACCTGGTTAATTTGCAAGCCATTTAGGCTCATTCCTTATCACTGACAATTAATTGGAGCTTTTCTCTAGAATATGATTCTTTGTGGAATCAATTTTGTCTACATACATTAAATTTGCATATGATAAATAGATGAGTTACTAAAAATTTTGGATGTAGTACCTCAAAGGCTCAGACTGTAGATGATATTTTGAGTCTGTTGTCTTAGTGGCTTCCTTTGAACAGATCAAAATCTTCTGAGATATTGATGTCTAAAATTTCAGATACCAACATTATTAGACTCTCCAAATACTTCTGGACCTCATGGGCTTGTTATAACAACTGCTTTCATTACGAATCACCCACTTCATATGGATTTTTGAGGAATGCTGGTGAATACCCAGAAATGATTGTTAGCATTTAGAGTTGACTAATTATACTAATCCCTTAACTAAAGTTTAATTATTAGAGTTAGAACCCTAAAACCAACACTCAATTCAATTACAAATTACCCAATTCAAAAACTTAATTAACATATCAGAGTAATTTACAAAACCCCCAAATAAGAAATCAAGTATAATTGTACCCCCAATTCAGATTAAATCATAAATTTAATCGCTAAACCCAATTATACATATTTTTATTATCACAAATTCACAATTCATTCATCACAATTATGTTTCAGAAATTCGAAGCTTACCTGTATAGTGAAGTGACGGCGTAGCGGTGCAGCGGAGATCGAGGTGTGGTGGTTGGCCGTGGATCGGTGGGTTCGGCGGAGGACTGGTGAGCGCAGCGGTGGAGCAATAATCAGTGCAGACTCCTTATGGGAGCACGGGTTGCGATAGGGGTAGGCTGCGATAGGTGGGGGCTACACTGTCGCACCGGGAGGGAGAAGGGGAGAAACCGAGAAATACGAGGGAGGAAGAGAATTGTGAGGCTATGACGATTTTTTTAAAAAAAAAAATAATATCAAATTAAATTTACAACCAACTTTTACCTAATATCAAAGAGTTATTACAACCAAGTGCTACCTAATATCAAAGTGTTACCTAATATTAAAGTGTTACAAAAAATGTTACCTAATTCAAGTATTCAATAATGTAACACCTCTTAGTGTTACCATAAAATGTTACTTTTTTAAAAAGTGTTACTATGGAGTGTTACTTATGTTAAAAGGGTTACATTGAGTGTTACTTTCTGATAAAGTGTTACCTAAGTGTTACTTATTACTCTAATATTTTGCATTTCAAGAAGTGTTACCAATTACATGTTACATAAAGTCAATTATATTGTACTAGTGTAGGCAAAAGTATGAAAATACTTTTATGTTAGTTGACATTTATTTTCACTGCATGCATCTTCACGATAATGTAGAAACCTATAAGAGCAATGTCAAGGATCAACTTTTTGCATTATATAGAGTCTATGAAGCCCAATATGGCATTGTTCCTTGCTCAGGCCCTTCTCAACCATCCAAAAACGTAAGTAAGAAGGCCAAACATTTATTTTCACAAGCTACTAACTTGATTTCAAGGTTTTCAGGTGATTCATCGATACGGAGAATGCAAAGCGACGTCTCGGAGATGGGAATGTACCTGAGTTACGACTTCAACAAGGGCATTAACAACGACGAAATAAACAGCCTCAACCTCCTTGCATGGTGGAAACAACAAAGCACGAAGCATCCAACTTTGGCGGCCATGGCACGAGACATTCTTGGTATCCAATTCTCTTCGTTGCCTCCGAACGAGCTTTCAGCGCATCCGGGAGGGTTTTAGACGACAGAAGAACAAGTCTAAAACCTGAAACACTTGAAATGTGTGTGTGCTTCAAGGATTGGTTGGATGCTGAAAATCACACACAAGACAGTTCTAACGAGGACAACGACTACGAAGCTGAAACATCCGCCTCCAGCCGTTCGGGTTCGGCTAGTTCCCAATCTATTCAAAAAGCCGATGACCTTGAACAAGAAGATGAAGAAGAAGATGAAGAAGAATAGATTACAATTTTTGTATATTGTACGATTTTAATCATTATCAACGTTATCATTGTACGATTTTTATCATTATCCAATTTTTATTTAATATCCTTGTACGATTTTTATCATTATTAATCAATATACAATTTTCCCAAGTAATAATAATATGAAGTATGGGATTATTCACATCCAAAGTCCAATTTGACTTTTTTTCTTGTTAAGTTATTATTTGTAAATAAATATAACAAAAACAGTATCATAATAATTAGTAATTAATAATACAAAAAATATATATAAATAAATTATGAACATTAAAGATTAAACTATAAAGATATACACTAATATTATAAAAAACTATAAACTAAATACATATAAATATTAAATATAAAAAATAAAAAAAACATACATATTTTATTTAATTTATTTTAGACATTTAATTTATAATACTTAAATAAAAAATAATAAGTTATAAAATATTGAAATAAAAAAAAAACAAAAAAACAAAAACAAAAACAAAAAAAAAGGAAACAATGCTAGCCCGCAAGCCAACACGGCACGAGCCCGGCTGGCACGTGGGTCGTGCCGTGTCGTGGGCTGGCCTGCTACTTTGGGTGGCACGACATGGCACGTGTTCCTAGGCATGGTGGCCCGGCACGCAGTGGCCCGGCACGGCACGATGCCCACCTTTATCTGTATGGGTTTTCTTCCCTTGGTAAGAGGTAGAACCTCCTTGTTTCAGGGTTCATATAGAACCATTTTTCCATCTGTGTATAACCTGTTGCATATCCATGAAAGTTGGATCTCTAACAGCTGGAATAGGGTGAATATGGCCTAATGCTCACTTTAGTCTAGCCACTTTGTGATTTGATGTGAGTCCTAGATGGTTGGTTCTTGTATGTGTTCTTAATTTGTCCTTTTTCTTCAAGTTATGGAGAAATCCATGTAACACTTTTAGAGCAGCTGCATAACTCATCTCTGTTGTCCTTTTATATGAAGCACTGACTGCATGTACTCATCATAAATCAGTCTGGGTTTGGGACCAGTTTTCCTTAATTTTTTGCTTCTGACATCAATCGCATTCCCTTATGCTATACTTTGCTTAACAAACTGCCAGACCCTCAGTGATGTGCATCTGTGAATGCCAAATTTTCTTGCCACTTGTGACAAAAACCATGTGGGTAATTCCCAACCATGTATGTTAAGTAGATAGTCATCAACCATTTGGCGTTTCTGCGGCACAGTTAATTGCTTCCTACTTGTTGGTTGTGCCTCTGCCTGTTGTCTCTCTTCACTATTGTCCCCTTCAGCTTCATCATCCATGCTGTCATCACTTGTGTTGTATTGAGATGGTCCCTCATTTAGTAGTTGCTCTATATAAAAAAACTCCTGATCGAAGTATGCTTCCATGTGTTGTGCGTCCCTTTTTTCTTGTTTTGCAGATTTGAAGGATGGTGATGAAGTTTTTTGGCTGTTGTTGTTTTTTGAAGTGGTGATGAAGTTGAACCCTAATGTTGCCCTTAGTTTAGGACTAATTTCAGTGTAGGCAATAAATATTTTGACTAATTAAAGTTGTAATTAATGGGGTTTTTCTTAAGAAACTTGAATGTGAATTGAATTCCCATGGTGGGTTAGGTTTGTTATGAATTTGGACAATGAATGTTGTATGATATGCTTTTTATATGAGGCACCTTATGTTTGACTGAATTGTAAAATTCGAAAATTTATTCGAATTTGAAATTTGGGTGGAAATCTGAATTTAGGGTGAAAATCTGAATTGTGGGTTAAAATTTGAATTTTAGGTGAAAATCTGAATTTTGGGTGAAAATCTGAATTTTGGGTAAAATGTGAATTTTGGGTGAAATTTAAAAATTTCACACACAAAAAAAAGAGGGAAGCAGCATCCCTCCTACAGCTAGTGAAAATCAGAAAAGGGGGAAAAGTGGGACCATTTTCCAACTTTTTCCTACTAACTTAAACCCACCCAAAAATAAAAATAAGTGGGACCATTTTTTTTTTTTTTATTTTTCCACTTAATTAAACCCATCTAAACTTAATTAAAATCCATTAAAAGTTTTGCTAGTACAGATAATCATGGACGGAGGGAGTATATACGCTTACTTACTAAAAAAGAAAAAAGAAGATAACTTGATAGTTTATTTTTGTAGTTTTTATAATATTCTCAACAATATACATATAATCATCACATCAATATTTTAAAAATTTCTCTAGCCTAACTGCCTAAGTGCCTAGTATATAAATTCATTGGATAAATTCTAATATGTTGTATTATTGTACTTCTTAACCAAAAAACAAAACATTTATGAACACTGTATATCATAGTTAAAGACTGATAATTTCAAAGAAAAAAGATATGGGTTTTGTGATTACTTTTGCAGGAATTCTGGGTTTTTGCATTGGTCTCCCAATTGGACTTGCTGTTGGGTTTTTCTTCTTCATATATTCCGAGCCTAAAGATGGTGTGGTAATGCACATTTACTGTTTGATAAAATGTTTGACTGAATGATGATTGTTTTATACTTATGATAATTGTATGATCTTTGCTTTGTTAATGTACTTTGTGTTCATTTTCAATTCTTTGTCATGTTATTTGTGTTTTTTTGCTTGATATAATGGTATTATATTATTCTTGGGTTTTAGTTCTTTCAGCTGAATTTTTAGTATTATGTCAAATAAAAGATTATCATTATGGATAAACTATAGCATTTGTGCAATTGTGCTTTAATTTGAGTTATATGGTTGACTACTTCCAACCTTTTAATTTGATATAATTCGTTGCAAAGTCTTGAAAAAGAGAAAAATAGGAATTGGTCATTATGTAAACATTCAATGGGTTTTTGACTTTCTGGAGCTAAGGTTTTTGGCTAAGTTGGTTCATTCAATGAATTTCTTGCACCAGAATTATACGTGTACAAGAAATTGAAGATTTGGGCTACATTGGTTCATAATATACATATATATATATGTATACATATATATGTATATACATATATATATATAATTTTCTTATGGTATTTAGAAGGCTTAATAAACTAACTCATCCCTGCCCCAACGAGGCGGGGTGAATGTTAGTTTAGTGGGTGGTGGGGTGGGGATGGGGATAAATATTATACCTATCATGGGAAATGGGGATGGGGATGGTTTTTGACTTATACCCGCTCTGCCCCACTTGTCCTTATCCAATTATCTTTTTAATTTCTAGTGATCATTATTTTTTTTAGATATAATTGCATGGTTACAATCCAAAAGGAAGTTAATGTCTTGTTTTCATGATGTAAAGATCAGACTTTAAATCGTATTAGAATTGCATAATGTATGATAGTGTCGATATTTATTGCATTTCGCTCCCGTGATATTGAGATGCATGCACGCTTTGTTCTTTTTTTTTTTTTTTAATTTTAATATTTTTGTAGGTGGGGAATTAGCGGGGATTTGGTGGGGACGGATTCCCGCGCGGGTGTTGGAGCGAAGATAGTTTTATGTTCATCCCTGGCAGGCGCGGGGATAGGGTTGAAACTTGGACCCGCCATGGGGATGGGGATGGGGATGATTTGCTCAATATCCGCCCCGCCCTATCGACAAGCCTAATGTCCCCCCTATAAATTTTGCTCTTTGTTTTTCACTCAATCCTCTAAAGTGGTCAAAACCGCTAATTTTCCCCTCCATCCGCTATCTTTCATCCACCCTAGTATAAAATATAGGAAAAATTAACAAGAATCCAAACTATTGGCCGTCTTCTCGTTAATTCCAAATATTATTTAACTCAAATTAATCTCAACTATGGGGGATCCCTTCTCAAATTTGTTCATTTCATTTGAAAACAACTGAACTGAACTGAGTTGAACTGGATGAAGTTGAAATGAATTGTTTATGAGAGAAGGAAATTAGAAACTGAACTGAACTAAATTAATTGGACCTGAACTGAACTGAACTGAACTATTATCTAGAATGATGTTTTGTAAAAGTGAGCCTTTTGAGATTCAGCGTTTCAGAACAAATCACTTAGTACCAAATATAAGAAATAGCTTATTTGACCACTCAATCCTCTAAAGTGGTCCAAACCACTACTCCCTCTGTCCCTTATTTTTTGCCCCATTTGACTTTTCACGGTCTTCAAGACGCGTGTTCAAACGTATATATCTTAATTTCTATACGCATAAAAATTAATAAAATATACAATGAGATGATTCTAACAAGACCCCACATGAATATATTATCACTTATAGATTATCGGGAATTTATGGTCAAAGTTTTATAAGTTTAACCCATAAAATTGCAATGGGACAAAAAATAAGGGACATAAGGAGTATAAAATCTAATATATATAAATAAAGTAGGCATTTTTAGAGAACATTCGTAGCGCCACATAAGCAAAGGTATGTTTTCGATCAATTAAAAATTAGATTTCTATTTTATTTTAGAATTAAAAATTTACTTGCCACCTAAACAAAGGTGACGAATGATATTTAAGAATTTTGCCACATACGTAAAAACAACGGATATTGATTTATTAGGTTTAATTTATTTAAAAAACTAAAAATTATCTTTTAAAATAAAGATCTTTAGATATAGGATTTATATACCTACTATTATAAGATAAATTTCGATAGTGTTTATGATAAGAAATAAAAATTATTTCTTAATTATAATTAAATTAAATTTGTGATATTCACCATTATAAATTGACGTATCATATAAGACCAACAAAATTTCGTATCAATACAAGACCAAACCAAGCAAATTTTGTGTCATTAATTTTGTGTCAGTTTTATTAGGTCATCAATGGCTGGATAAATCTTAGCCTAATTTTTAAAACCCATGTTTAAATGTATATTTATGATTATTGCTTAAATGTTTTTATTTGGGATACTTAATGATTATATGTTGATGTTTTGTTTACTGAATTTTGTTTTTACATGCAGGTCTATTTTAATCAGAGAATATATTCGAGCAAAAATCATTGGAATATCAAAGTACGAGTTTCTCACCTGATGATCCTATTTGATGAGGAGGTATTATATCTGTATAATCGTTTACATTTATTAAATCTTTTAATGAACCTTTTAGTTTTTATCAATTAATTTTATGATTAAAGCAATTTTTTTGTGATTTAGATAGCTAATTAAGTCATAAAATTAACTTAATTTTTTATTTCTAATTACAGGGTGATTAAGTTCATACCTCAATTAAAGTCAACTTTGTTCTACAATTTGTTCAAAATTGATTATTATTATTTATTTTTATTTTTGATTTTGTTTAACGAATAATGATTTAAGATTTAAATTATTTTAAAAATAAAATATTATTATTTTTTCACATTAAAGATTTTATCCTAATATGTAATCAATGAAATATCATATTTACAATTTTTGTTTTTTTTGAAAGATATCACATTATTGTAATATAACTAACAACAACGAATAAAATACAAAATAATTGGCAATGTCATTTTAATTAAATTATTATTTGGTTTATTTTTTTGTCTGAAACTATTAAATTGTAAAATAAATCAAATAATTATAAAAAAGAATTAGAGTATATAAAAAATATCTTTTCTTGATCAGATATATGTATGACAATTCGTGCATCGCACAATATTATTTCAACAAATTAAAAGTTAGATTTGTATTTTATTTTAGAATTAAAAAATTCACTCGCCACTTAAGATTTTTGCCACGTATGTAAAAACGACAAATAATGATTTTTTAAGATTTAAATTATTTTAAAACTAAAAATTATCTTTTTTAAAAGATGATCTTTTGATATTAGGATTTAAATTAAAAAAAAATATAAATTATACAATGATTATATACAAACACTTTAAAATTAAATATTTGAAAAAGGAAAATACATGTTCATTTTGTTTTTAAGAAAACGTTCAATCAATTATTTTTTTAGATTTTTTTTTAAAAGAAATCAAAGTTATTAATAATTAACTAATATACTTCAATTTTTTTTAAAAAAAATCAATATTCTTGAAAAAAAATAACAATAACGTTCAGTCTTTATCAACATTCTTCAAAAAAAAATATAATGTTCAATTTTTATCTTATCTAGCAAAACCCATTTCATGATTAGATAATTTTTTTTATAAGAGATTTATTTGCTACTCCACAAATATATAAGATGGGATAATATTAAAGATTTGTATACATCCTCTCAAAAATATAATTTTGATTTTTTTTTCAATTGTAAATAGACAATATATATATATATATATATATATATATATACAATACAAAAAACACAAACATTTGAATATTATTTATCTACACTTTTTCATGGTGTGAATTTTTTTCAAGTCTAATTCGTTAATTAACCAAAAATATTGAAAAATAATGTAAGTATATCAAGGCTTTCAAATGGTAAACAAAATAAATTGATTGTTATTCATTATTTTATAAGATGTATATTTTAAAATTAAAGATTGTAAGAGATTTATATGATAATTTTGATTTTTTTTGTGTATTATAGTTTCTGGTAGAGTATCTATATTGTTATTGTAAAAATTATTGTAGTAGTGTATACATATAACTCTATTATTAAGACATATGATAGTGAAATTTCATTATAAATATTTAATTTTATTCAATTAGATTAATTTTAATAATGCAACACTCTTGGCAGTGAATATATATATATATGTATATATATTTCATTCAACTATTTAAAAATTTATAAAGTCATATCTTTTACTTTTACTCCCACCGTCTTTATTTTAACCATATACTTTATTTTTCATTGTATAAAGTTGATACGGAGTAAAGAATAATGGTGGTCTAAGTTATTGTTTTTGAAAGAAAAATAGTGATTATATAACTATATATGTATAGTGGAACAACGTGTTTTCGTTATACAAACGAATCATAGATTGAAAATAATATGAACAGGATTATGATTTTATTCTAATATCTATCATACTTATAATTTTCATAAATTAAGAAAATAATATTTTTCATGAAATTTATGTATAAAAAAAACCGTACATCACACGCGCTTCCATCTAGTAACTCATCAAATTGATTGGAAATTTCTTATCTAATTCATCTTTTTATTGGGAGCATTAATCCTAATTGGATCAACACAAAATATGGTCCCCACCCCAATAACTTTTGTAAGTTTCAAGTCACTAAAATAAAATAAATAAATAATAAAACATCATCATTTATCATAATTATATCCAACCTAATCTTACCCACTAATTTTCACTATTAATCCCACTAATCCCTCCCACATAAAAACTCCTAATAATAATAATCTCCTAATAAATCCCAATTTTTAATTTTTCCCTTAAATAAAACCAACCAAAAATAGTCCTTAATCAATCCCACCCTCCTCTTTAAATACCCCTTTCCAATCACCTTCTTCTCTCAAATTTCAACTTTCTCTCTCTAAATATTGAACTTTTTCTCTTTAAATATTGAACTTTCTCTCTCTACTTTCTTCCTCTCTCAACAATGGCAGAAACCAACAACAACAATGGCGGACTCTCAAACAATGGCGCCGATTCCAAAGGCTTAGTCGTGAGTTTCGGAGAGATGTTGATCGACTTTGTTCCGACAGTTTCAGGCGTTTCTCTCGCCGAAGCGCCGGGATTCCTTAAAGCTCCCGGCGGCGCTCCGGCGAACGTTGCGATCGCCGTTGCAAGGCTCGGCGGTAAAGCCGCCTTCGTCGGAAAACTCGGCGATGATGAATTTGGTCTCATGCTCGCCGGAATTCTCAAGAAAAACGGTGTTTCCGGCGACGGTTTGACGTTCGACCAAGGTGCGAGAACTGCTCTCGCTTTCGTTACGCTAAAAGCTGATGGTGAAAGAGAATTCATGTTTTACCGGAATCCGAGTGTTGATATGCTTCTTACTCCTGATGAGCTCAACCTCTGTTAGGTTTTAGAGTGATTTTCAATCAAGAAAACACTAAATATATGTGTGGGAACAAAACCTAAATAATGTAATTACAATAACAAAGTAAAGTAATTCAATCAAACACAATCAAGGTGTTACAATCAAGTATTAATATCACTATGAAATTACAGAAATTTCTAATGATAACACTAATGAGAAGTATAATTACACTTGCCTTAACTCCAAGCCGATTAACGCACACATGAACATGAGAATTGCAATGTCCCTTGAGACTACGACCTTGATACACTGTCAAAGGCGTATGAATACTTTCCTAAAGGGATTAATTTTCCCCACACGGTGCTAGGGTTATTCCAGAAATTCCCTTTGAGATACAATTGACAGCCTTTTACGTTCTTAGCACAAAGAAACGAAAACAAAGATGAATGATTCTCGAAGTAGGCTAAAATCTAGAAGATTTCTTACAAAAGTTTGCAAAGTTTTTTGTGAGAAAATATGGAGAATTCTAGGGAGAATAAGAGATAATGATCTTCTGTATCTGTTTTACAAAAACCAAGTTCTATTTAAAATAGACTTCAACCGTCGCATAAAACCGCAAAACGGCAGAAGCGCGGGCGCGCCACCATGAGGTGCGGGCGCGCAACCTCCCCGCACGGGCGCGCCACCAGCTTGCGCGGGCGCTCCTCTTCTTTGCCCAAAAATTTCAGATTTCCAGAAAGTTGACTCGATTTTGTCGCGCTCTAGGCGCGGGCCGCGCCATACGGGGACGCGGGCGCGCCACCTAAATCCGTCAGATTTTCCAGAAACCCATCGCGGTTTAGGCGCGGTTTCATCGCGGGTCACGCCTAGCTAGCGCGATTAATCAGTAGAGCACGCTCCACTCCGACACTCTAAATTATCAACAATCCTCCCCCATTTAGAGTGTCCCTTTAAACATTCTCCAATTCTATCATTTAGCCACATCTTATGCATCAATGTTAATGTCCCTTCGGCTTGAATTAACACTTAGTACAACACACTTAACGATGATCATATCCCATGATTTCCATATGGATTGAATCACACGGATATATCCAATCATTCGAAGATGAAGTACACATAAGATAAATCGAATCATTCATCACTTGACACTTTGAAACAGCCATGTGTTTGTATCTTTCATAAGTTCATCAAAGTCTATATGTCCATCTAGACTTCTTGAAGCGGCTAAACTTCGAAGTTATATAGGTAGGTTCTCATATACGTGAATGTGCCCTTGTGACAAGACACTTACATTTAGAGCTTCTCAACTCTAAATCTTTGAGAACTTTAAATGACGCTACCAAATACATCACAAGTACCATAGCAATATGGATCATAAATATTGCTAACAAACATAAAAAATGTAATTCAACCACATTGAATCTAAGACTTGATGTTTCTTCAAGCGTTAGATTGGGTTTCACAAATTTGTGTTTTTGGTTATAAACCCATTCCATTCATAGCAAATATGATGGAATGTCTTGGCATTGCTTTAGTAAAGCAATCCGCCAAATTTAATTTCGTTGGAACATAGTCAAGACTTATGACCCCATCATGAATAAGCTCTTTCACTAGGCTATGCCTTAGTGAAATACGCCGAGACTTACCATTATACACTTGACTATAAGCCTTTATCAACGCCGAATTGGAATCACAATGGATCGCCACCGATGGCATTGGCTTTGACAATAAAGGCAATTCTAGCATGAGATTTCTCAGCCACTCAGCTTCCTTACTAGCTGAAGCAAGAGCAATAAACTCTGCTGCCATAGTGGAATCAGCGATGCAAGTTTGTTTCTTGGAAGACCATGGAATGGCACCTCCTCCAAACATGAATACCCAACCACTTACAGAAGAGTCATCCTCTTTGTAAGTGATCCAACTAGCATCCGAAAAACCTTCTAAAATTGAAGGAAATCCACTATAAGATAGACCATAGTCTAACGTACCCTTAAGGTACCTCAAGACCCTTCTAATTGCAAACCAATGCTGTGCACCCGGGTTACTAGTAAATCTACTAAGTTTTCCCACAGCCAATGCAATATCTGGTCTTGTACTGGTCATGGCATACATCAAGGATCTAATTATCCTTGAATACTCTAATTGGGAAACCGTTTTCCCCGGATTCTTAACCAATTTTACATTAGGTTCCATGGGGGTGTTCACGGGACACTTATCAAACATATTGAACCGTTTGATCATTTTCTCAATGTAATGAGATTGACTTAATATAAGCCTTCCATTGTCCCGAATTATCTTGATGCCTAAAATGACATCCGCCTCCCCCAAATCCTTCATCTGAAAAGATGAGGATAAGAATTCCTTGGTCAATTCTACTTGTTGTAGACTTGTACCAAAGATAAGCATATCATCAACATATAGACAAATGATGACACCATGACCTTTGTCATCAAATTTGCTATATATACACTTATCAGCTTGATTCACCTTGAATCCAAAGGACAAAATCGTGTCATCAAATTTTCGATGCCACTGCTTTGGTGCTTGTTTCAGTCCATACAACGACTTAACAAGTTTACACACCTTGTTTTCTTATTCTTCCAAAACAAACCCTTCGGGTTGTTTCATATACACTTCTTCCTCTAGATCTTCATAAAGGAATGTCGTCTTGACATCCATTTGATGAATCACTAGATTGTATACCGAAGCCATTACAATTAACAACCTTATCGAGGTTATTCTTGCAACCGGTGCATATGTGTCAAAATAATCGACACCATGCTTTTGCCTAAAGCCTTGGATAACCAATCTGGCTTTAAATTTCACTATGGAGCCATCCGGTCTCTTTTTCCTAGTGAAAATCCATTTGCAACCAAGAGGTTTGCAACCGGGAGGTAAATCCTCTAAGACCCATGTGTCATTTCCCATGATGGAATCCATCTCATAATTTATAGCCTCTTTCCAAAATGCACTATCTTGGGAAGATATCGCTTCACTATAAGTCTTTGGGTCACTATCCACATTGAAACAATATGGAGTAGTAGAACTAAGGGTATCACGAGAGCCTTCAACTAGGTAGATTATGAAATCATCACCATAGTTCTTAGGTCTCCTATCCCTAGTACTCCTCCTAACTTGAGGAGGCTCAACATTCTCTTCATCGAATGTTTCTTCATGAGGAGGTTCAAGTTGTACATCCAACTCTACTCTCTCCCTATCATTGGCAATTATTTGTAGATCCTTCGGTCTACTCATTGATGAAAATCGGTTTTCATCAAAAATTGCATCTCTTGACTTTATAACTGAATGAACAGAAATATAGTCATTTTGTTCTATTACATAGAACCTATAGGTTTTGCTAAACTCAGCATAACCTATGAAAATGCATTCCAAGCCCCTTTCACCGAGCTTTCTCTTCTTGTTGCCGGGCACTCTTACGATTGCCCTACAACCCCAAACCTTGAGATACTTCAAGTTTGGCTTTCTTTTGTATCAAAGTTCATAAGGAGTAGATTCTTTTCCCTTTGTGGGAACCCGGTTAAGAATGTGACATGCTGTCAACATTGCTTCACCCCAGAACCCTTCACTCAAACCTGAGTAAGAGAGCATGGAATTAACCATCTCTTCAAGGATTCGATTTTTCCTTTCAGCTACACCATTTGATTGTGGTGCATAACCAGTTGTTGTCTCATGAATTATACTAAAAGATTGGAAATAATTTGGATCATAGTATTCCCCCCTCCCTTTATCAGTTCTTATTCTCTTAATAAATGAATCTACTTGCAATTCTACTTCCTTTTTATAAATATCAAACTTGGTTAAAGCTTCATCTTTGGAATGCAAAAGATACACGTAACAAAACCGAGAATAATCATCTATAAACGTGACCATGTATCTTTTGTTCCCCAAAGATGGAGTACTATGAAAATCACACAAGTCACTATGGATTAGCTCTAAAATGTTAGAACTTCTCTCAACTCTCTTAAATGGAGTTCTAGTGATCTTGTTCAACATGCAAGTAGAGCACTTATTAGGAGAAATATCACAACATGGAATCAATTCTTGTTTGGGCATAAAAAGCATTTTATTGTAATTCACATGTCCTAATCTCGAATGCCACAAATCAAACATACTTATATCAACATGATTAACATTAGCATCAACATTCAAACATAAACCATCATTACAAACATTCTTGTCTTTCAATGAAAGCTTAAACAAACCATTATCCAAGTAGCAACGACCTATAAATAATACACCCCTAGTAATAATGCATCTATTAGCTTCAAATACAAGCTTATAGCCAAGACTATTTAGGGAAGGCTCGGATACAAGATTTCTACTAATTTTCGGAGCATACAATACATTCCTAAGAACAATTGCAGTCCCCGAACTAAACATTAGCTCAACTTGTCCTCTTCCAAGGACCTTGATAGTAGAGTTGTTCCCCATGTAGAGGTCTTCTCCATCAACAACCTTTTTAAAGGTTTTGAACCAATTCTTACTCTTGCACACGTGCCTTGAAGCCCCCGAATCAATCCACCATGAGTCATCATCCTGCACAACAAAAATGTTAGGATCCGTTGCATTTAAATCCAATCCGGAATTAAATTCAACCTCATCAAATGGATTACCTTTGGTGGATGGGTCCTTGCTAGTGTTAGCACGACCCTCCTTGGCTTTCTCCATCCTCTTCTTAAAGGAAAAACAGTCCTTCTTGCGATGTCCAACTTTACTGCATTCCCAACAAGCAAACTTGTTATTGTTTGCTTGCTTTTTGGACTTGCCTTTGGAAGAATTATTATTCTTCCTCTATCAACTAGTAGATGCACTAGCTCTCCCATCATCTACCATATTCACGGTAGATGAGCTAGGATTTCCATCCTTAGCTCCTTCCATGGCACGAATCCCCTCTTCAATTTGAAGGTGCGTGGCCAAACCGGACAATGTCATGTCCTCTTTCTTGTGCTTTAAATCATGCTTCACATTTTTCCAACTATGGGGCAATTTATCAATTATGCTAGAAACAACAAACAATTCATTCATACCAATACCATGTTGTTCTAAGCTAGCATAGATGCGTTGTAACTCATGAAATTGA